CTTTCACAAATTTTCTTTTTGTTGATTTTCTCTAACAAACAAACACAATTAACTATGAAACTGTTTTCTTTGTAACCCAATTGTTGGAAAAATGGAACGTAGCATGTGAGTAGATGCATGCATGATCTTTTTGAAATTACTCTATCCTTTTTTTTTTTTTTTTGATAAAGGCCTTCTATATCCTTTTATTGAAAGTTAGCATACTAGTATTACTTTTATGTAAAAAAAATTAGCATAGCTCTTTGTATTGAAGTATTTTCACTGGTTACATTTACTTTTCTCTCAAAGGATGTAAATGTGCTCATCCCAACCTATTTTAATACTTTTCTTTTTTATTCACTTACTAATAATTCATCTTATTTTAGACAATCATGAGTTTATGACCCTCTTTTACTTGCAGCCGCCTTGCCTACAAGTCAATATAACTTTTCTGTATATGTTTTGATTTTTTGGATCTGGTAATATACAGTAGTATATCGAAGGGATATAACGTTCACCAATTGTTTTGCATTAAATAGGAAGTGATTCAAATCACCAAATACGTCGTCTGGGCGAGTCTTTAGACACTTTTTTTTTACCGATTTTTTTTCTTAGAAACTTGTTGCACGCATCAACTAAATATTGTAGAAAAAAAAAGAACGAGCGTCTATTCTATCAAAATGAGATTTTCAAAGAGAAAGATGTCAAAACATAGATCACTTTTGACCATGTTAAGAGAATCTAATGGTGTGTCGAGGACTAATGAACAGATGGCACAACCTTTTTCAGTCTGTCTCCCGGACATCAAAAGACGATTCCAATTTTCAAATGTAATTAACAAGTGGGTTCTACAGAAAACCCCTTTTACAAAGTAAATAAAAAATAATTTTTACAAATTACTTTAGTAGATAAACAAGCTGGTAGATGACAAATATATTATACTATTGATTTATCATCAGAAATATTGGTTTAAGTCCTCATATTAAACATAGCATTCAGTCTCTTCCTCGGCATCTTTTGGTTCTTCTTATAGTTCAAATGCTTAATTAGTTTAACGACCATGGCTTGACCACTTTTGGTTTATTATCTTATTATTTTAGTACATATCTTAATATATTTGTAAAATTTTGAATCCGAGCTAAAGTTAAACTAAACACCGACTTGCATACAGCACTTGGCATTTACAAGTTCAAATAATTAAGTTCTCAAGACAGTGTATTGATAACAAAATGTGAATATAAGTTGAGTAAAGAAAAAGAAGGAAATAGCGAGAAATAAACATATACATGCACATACGTATATAACAAGAAGACTTGTATTTAAATTTCAGTATATACTTCTACAATCCATTTTGTGTTGCTAAGAAACAAGATTCTTCTACAAAACAAGAAAGAACAAGAAAACATGGTAATTAAAAAAACTTACTATTTAAAAGAAAACTCGAAGATCTATCTATCACATGTTGATCTTACTTGCACGAAACTAAAAGGCCTTATGTACGGACGGCATGCAAATCCGCGACATCAGGAGTAGAGAGATTCTACGGTGAGGCTACTAGGCTCATTAGATGGAGAAAAAGCCAAGAAGATGAGGAGGATCATGAGAATGAGAGGGAGGAGGAGGAACGTCGCCGGAGGCGGTGGAAGCGGCGGAAGAAACGGTGGTAGAATCAGAAGAGACAGAGAAACAAAGAGAAGAACTGCGATGGATCTCGCCGTGATAAAAGAACTTCCGGTCAAACCCATTGGCTTGGGTGTGACATCAAATCTCAGCCGTTGATCATGTACCCTCATCTTCCATTAATATTTAAAGTATCAAAGAAAAAATTAAATGACTCTGGTAGTTAGATCTTCTGCTTATGTCTTTGGCTATACTTATATAGTGGAGAATTGGGAAAGTTAGAAAATCTAGGTCTATATATATACGTGTATGTGTATATTTTACACCCAAAATGGTGCAGTTGTTTCAATAATTACTACCTACACATTGTTTACAAGATATTTTATTTTATGAATTTTACTGAATGTTTTTGGTATTATTTTATGATTTTATAGTCTACATACTTAGTAGAAAGAACAAGAAAAAAGGTAATTACAGTAAAAGGATGTTCTGATGACAATGTTATTTAAATTAAATAATTAATAGATCACCCACCGATAATATTTAGATTAATTGATAAGAAAATGCATTAGAGGGTTATAAATGCATGTCAAGAAATGTTCAAAAAGGAGTAAATTCCAAAGAGCCGGTGTGAGGTCACAGCTGTGAGATGTCCTGATTCAAGTAATCAACTCATTTCACTCTTTGCCTTGTTTTGGCTCTCTTTCGTATTTGTTGCTTCAGCCATAATTGAAAACTTATTCTGGCTCTAATTGTTAGGTGTTCTTTGACGTCTGAGTTACCGATTTAGGTTTATACATTAATATTTTTAGATTTCAGTGGAAACTTACCAATGAATATTCAGTTAATTAATTTAAGTTTTCAATTTAATCTAAATGATCTAATGATTTGATTATTATTTGGGCCAAAACGTTTAGAAATACTATTTACAGTGTTTGTTTGGGACAAACAGGTGAAACCATCCTTCTTTTACGAAAAAAAGAAATAAAACTTCTAGAAAAAAAACTAAACAAGTATTTTACACAGATGCATGAACATCCCAAGCTTTAGATAGATGTGTAGAGCAAGTTGACGGCGACCGGAGGCTGATGTACTTTTAGGTACATTGTTTCTGTAGTTCCCAAGGAGGTCCTTTTTGTCTAAATTCTAACTTGTTGAGAAAACCACAACCTTAAATAAAAACACAATACATTATTATACTGTATTTAATAAAACATTATATGCTTTATTAACATGTTGAACAAGAAAAAACTTTTAAGGGCATCTCCAACCCAACTCCATTTTTTACTTTAAAATGGAGTAAAAGTGATTATGGAGTAAAAAATGCTTTAACTCCACTTCATTTCTTACTCCATAATGAGATTTATTCCATAAATGGAGTAATCTATTTTTTGTTTGTTCACTACTCCATTATGGAGTTACAATTTACAAATAGAGTAGGGTTGGAGTATTTTTACTCCATAATCACTTTTACTCCATTTTAGAGGAAAAAATGAAGTTTTACATTGGAGATGCTCTAACGTGATGTCACGAATGAAAACATAGATTTCATCGTTCACATGTAATACATGTTATATGTAATCTTTGCATGGTCATGTCGTTCATGTAGATGTAGTTCTCAGTTCGATTTGATTTCCACTGCGAAAGTTTAAAAGTGGAGATATGAGTGTATAACCATTAGCCTAAATGAAAAGAAAGAGCATTAACGTAAGACATTTTCAATTTGTAAGTACGGAGTTTTCCATAGAACGTTTGCAAAAAAAAAAGTCATAAAACTAATCAATGATAGTTTTGGCTTTTTTCAACAATGATGCGGTTAAACATGGGTAAACGTATTTCACTAACATGCATATCTAACACAAAATGAAGTTGAAAACTAAAACATTTTGAATTTAAAGCAAGTTGGGTCCTGCCTGCAAAAACTTCGAGAACTTTTTCATTCCTGATACATTTTTTGAATTTGGAGAATGCATTGAACCTAACTGCACTATTTTATATGCTTTCCCGTGAATTTGGCATTACTTTGGTTTTATTATTTGACCATTTGGGTATTTTCAACTTTTATCTATTTTAAGTAGTTTGAATTTTTTATAATGCCATCTCGTTCCCAACTTGGGTTGGCTTTACAGCTTCATTGATGCAGTCGACCCAGAAAAGTTATATTCCCCTTTTTAGTTTTTTGTAACTAACAAAAACAATGAATCATCTTAAATTGTAGGATTGGTTTTGGATTTAGGGGGTCATGTGTTTTCTGGAATCTATGTCTATATATTTTTTTCAATATTTGTAGAAGTTTGAGACGAATAACAGATTTAGGACCGGTCATGTCACTATTCGTAAGATACATATAAATATATAATATAAATAGACATAAGGTTGAATCATTTAGATAATCTTAAAAGAAAAATACAGATTGAACGTTACACATTAGTTACAACTTACAACAAAATAAATTGATCATATAATAATTTTAAGAGTACGATATAATTTACAAACAATACATGCCTATCATTAAAATCTACATTACCGAAAGGTTTCTGTCAGTTGAGTCACACAATTTGTAACAAATGTCTCAATAAAAAATCTAGATGCTATCTTATTTTGTATACTTCTGCATGACCCCTTTTGCTAACCTACAACAATTTATCCATTGCTAGCATATTTATCAAACAAACTGAGCCCAAATTTGGCTTCCAGCTAAGGCCCAAAATTTGAAATTAGTCCTTGTTCTGTACTATTTACTGTCGCTGGTCGAAGAGTATAGTGGTCTTCTTAGACTGTTACATTGTCAATGAATAGAAAACTACAAGATCGATGTCTCATTTGATGATAAACTACAAGATCTATGTTTAACCATGCAAGGATTACAAATAGCATTCATGCATTATAATGGTCCGTAACTTGATCAACCTTTTTTGCTAAAAATGAATGAAAAATTTCATTACCACAAATCAATGTAAGTCTGCATTACTAGAGTAAACTTGAATCCTAGTATGCTCTAGAGCAGAATCGTTTGCTAGGAACCGCAAAAAAAGTAAAAAGACTCCAAGCAACACAATAGAACCAAGCTTGTTCATAACAGAACATGCTTAGAAATACACAATATTAATTAGTAACTCGATCAACCTTCAGAACCTACTTATAATAAGTGCAAGTGGAGCATTTCATTAGCATATTACAGCTCCAAATATTATGACTCATTACTGCTACAAGTTTATTACAACTATATACTAATATAGTAGTTACTAGTTAGTTACGGATTGAACAACATTTATGCTGATAAAAACAACATTATTAAAATATAATAAACTCTTGCTTTGCAGAAGGTTCATACTATTTCTAACCTCAAGTTACAAAAACTAAATCACATCCAATACGTTTTTGAATCATGTAAACGAGTTTTAACATTTCTCGTACAAGTATAACAACCTATTACTTAACTCTTCGAAATTCACATTGCAATTATCCATCTGAAGATGCAAAGTGTAAAAGAGCCTCTCTCCTTGAGACCTTGAAGATGAAGCATTCACAAGAACCAACCCATCTTCTTCTACTCCACTCAATACGTTCCCAAACGAACACTTTACAGTCTGTAACGATGAAATCTGGACCATTAATTCTGTCTCACCGAGCCTAGTCGCAGATAACGTTGATGCATAACCAGTGACCCCTTTCTCTAGCTTATCGTTTTGGTTTGTGTCATTGAGATCTTTTTGACCCGAGATTTGGAATAATAGTTCATTTTTCTTCTTTGTGAGCATGTTTACTTGCTCTTGCAGCTCTGGTATGTACTCTAGAGCCTGTGAAACTGTTGCTGAAACACTTAACTTTTTCTGCAAGAAATATATAAAAGAAAAGATTTTCAATTTTCTTATAATTAACAATGGGACAAGTAATTTTGTTTTTCTTTTGCGTTAGAAACACACAACATCACAACTGTATCTTAATCAACATCAAAATTGTAAAAAAAAAAAGAAAGTTTTTGAAGCTGCTTAAAACATTGAATAAAAGAAAAATCCTTACAAGTTGTGTAGTTTTCATTGATTTGCTTCATTTTTTTGTCAAGTAAAAAAAGTAAACGTATCCATATAAAAAGATAAATTTATTTGAATAATTGGTTACCGATTTATTGGTAGATGGGAGACAAGAACGGAGAGCTGAGAACATTGTGTTGATCTTCTTGCGACGAGCACGCTCGCTCGCGTTATGATTAAGTTTCTTCTTCACAACGGGGTTCTCTAACTCTAAAGTTTTATGTCTCTCCGATGACACATTCTGATCATCATTCACCCCCAAGTCCGGCAACGAAAAATCAAGAAACGTGTTGATTACGTCGTCGTTTAGGTAGAAACTCTGGTCTCCGCAAGGCCAGCCGAAACTGGGAAACGATGGAGGGACAAGTGCACACATGTTGAGTTTAGACAGTGTTTCGGTTGGGATTAAGCTAGTGAGTTAGTTGGTTTATTTTGTCTCACTCAACTTACATTTATATATATATAAACTAATACAAAAAAAAATGTTTTGATCGAGGGAATAATTATCTGTTGTTTAAATGTAAAGCATATTTGTGAGATATAAATTAAAACTAATACCATAGGGTGAAGTGTATGCGGGCCACGAGTGGACATGCATTGACACGGGTTTAAGCATTTTCTCCCCAAGCAGGAGTATGTTCGAAGGATCACCTGTTGACCTACATATACATGCAATAAGTTTTCTTTGTCATTGCACTAATTAAACTAAGAGAAATGCTGGGAGACAAGGATACACATACACGGGTTTGATAGACGTGCAATGTTGTGAGGGAACGTGCAAATCACGTGGAATGTTGCAAGGCACGTGTAAATCACGTGGAATGTTCAAATGCTTATCTCCTGATTACAAATTTATCTGTGTAATTACTGAGTAAGCATTTCTTGTTTATTATATACATCAAATGTAGACTCCCTACATATTTTTTAGTTTATTTAAAAGTTTTATAGTGTAGTGGCTAATTCTGTTCATACATTAAAGTATAAAGGTCAACCCCGGCCACATCGGTTAGGTCAAAGATGCCTAGATTCTAGACTTCGAGTCTTGGACTGACGACGGCGATCTATGAGATTTTGGGTAGCTATTTTTAGGGCCATTAAATGCAAAAGACCCTAATGGGCTTATTTAAACATGATGGGCTCTAAGATAATTGTGTAAATCTCGAGTGCAAGTGTTAGCTTTGTAGAGTTTAGATGTTAATGTGCTCATACTTTAACATTTTAGAGGTTCATGTAACTTTTATAAGCATGTCAAAAACTGTAAAAGACTTCTGGTCAGGTCCATAACGATCATGAAGCTTTATTGATCTCTTAATATACATTTATTTCTGTTTTTTACATAAGCTGCAACATATATCACACACACAACATACTACAAAAGATAAACCAAATATACAAAGCTGCTCACAAAGAAAAAAACAAGGAGCTAAAACTGAAGCCTGATCATGTCTGAACCATTTCTCTCATATCCTTTTGCTTCAGACCTTGACTCCTATCCGTTGAGCAACCTGGAGAACATTCATATTAAGATTCCAAATAGTTGTAAACTCTTGTGAGGCTTGATGGAACCATAGAGATTCGTATTACCTGTTTAAAAGAAGTAACTTCACTTCCCCAGAGCCAAGCGTCACAGCCTGCGTCTCTAGCCCCCCATAAATCATTCCTACGGTCATCTCCTACATGAACCGCATCCTCAGGATTCACTCCTAATAACTCACAAGCTTTCAAGAAGATGGTCGGGTTTGGCTTCTCCGCTTCAACCTGCAAAAACAATCAACCAAAACCATTGAATATAGACACTCACTCTGGAAACGTTTCAGATCATCAACCAAAAGATAGATAATATAGGAGAAGAGGTTGTCTTACTTCTGCTGAAACAGCCACAGCATCAAACCAGTCTTCACATCTCAGTGCTCGTAGGAGAGGTCTTAATCGAGTGTCGAAGTTGGACACAATGGCAACTTTTACACCCGCTTCTTTTATAGCCTTGAACACTTTCTCTGCCTCTGGATCACATAGTTTCCACGCCTGATAAAGCAAGTGGGGTAAATATCAAGAGAAGGTAACAAAATTGGAAGTGTTCTTGAAGCGTATGAAGAAAATAGTAGCAAAGATCAAAACCTGTTCTGTAGTAAAATAATCGTAAAGCTCTTCAAAGTATTGAGAATTTGAGCAGCCTGTTGATGCAGTCACTATATATTGCCAAAAAGGTCTTGCGTCGTTCACGTATCTGAAAATAAAGGTGGTTATAATATATCAAGAACATAACACAAGGTTATATCACTCGCAGGTCACTCTTCTTCAAGCCTAATCTTTCAAAAAGTTAGTTTAAATCTAACTTGGTACAGAGTTAGTCTTAATCATGATCCATTAAAGGACTAACACTAAACATAATGTTGAATTCAAACAAATGAGAAAGCACAAAGAAAATTTAGCCAAGTAGTGATTTACTTGGAGTAAGAGAACACACACGAAGGTGAAGACGATGATGATATACCTGAGATGAGATTGACCCCATGGTTTCTGATAAGCTCTTCTGTATCTAGTAAGTATCTCAGCCTCCGAGTACACAACTCCATACTTCTCTCCAATGTTCTTGTATATCTACACAATCAAAAAACACAAACACAACTCAGAACTAGCAGATTAAAAAGTCCTCCATGTAAGCTTCTAGATACACTCAGAGATCACAGCAAAGCATAAAGCATTCACAACACAACAAAAAGCAAACAACAACTCGCTTCTCAGTCGAGTAATTGTAACACCCCGACTGCTCAGCTTGTGACTCATCCCATCACATCACTATACTTAAAGAGGCTCGATATACTTATTTATTGACATTCCCGGAATAACTTCCTGATTGTTCTTCTCAACTAAACACTCTTAATTCTGGAGTTCTGTAACCAAAATGATAAAGTGTATTTTGATAAATGTTCTAAAAATCGGCTTAGACGCGATCATAGCTGAATTAAAATCCGATTTATGCTACTCAAATCAGTTTAAACCACTTTAAATTGGCCAACCTTAGTCTAAATATATTTAAACTAATCTGTTGTATATGTAACTTTTTTATAATTCATCAAAACAATTTTATAATCAAACTCAAAAAACTAAAATATCTAATGTAAAAGTAAATATTTGAAAAAATAAATCAATAATTCGTTAACTAGCCTCAGATCATCCAATCTTCTACTAAACACCTATTTAACTGTCTAGCAATTTCTTAAACACTGATTTTGATAACATAAACAGCTAAATCATTTTTTTCCCCGATCTCTCTTCTACATGCACCACTTTTATCAACTAAACAATTACAAACAAGACCACAAATTATTTTAAAAATACATTCGCGCCATCGTTGAATCATGAGATCACGCAGACCTGAGCCGTAGGTTGCGCGGGAACGAGGAGAGTACCAACGGCATCAACGAGCAACGCCTTGTGAGTGAACTCACCGTATAGAGATCTCCGATAATCATCATACTCCTTCAACACACCTCCCAATCCATAGATCCCTCCCGATTCTTCATCCTCCGCCACAACAGCAGCGGAAGACGTAGCAGATGAGATCCGACGGCTGAGCAATGCCCCCGCGGTGCTCGCGATACGATCTGCTGATCGATTAGAGATGCCGGCGGAGACTGAGAAGAGAAGTGTCGCTAAGCTCTTGCTTCGTGACGCCATTGGTGTTGTTGTTTCGGTTCTCTTCTCACCTTCTCGAGGTTATAAATAAAATGGGATTTCGAAGGTGATGAGGAGGAGAGGTGCGTGGTGCGGAGAATCTTTACCGAATTGCCCCATAAAGAGGTGTGATATTACGGTCGTGCCCTTTTTTTCTATATCTTCCGTTATGTTTTCTATCCTATCCGCTAAAGGCTAATCTGTGGAACTGAATGCTGATGTGGCGTTTCAATTAGAGTTTTTTTTTTTTTTTTTTTTGTTGTAACAGTTTCAATTAGTGTCTATTTAAAAAAAATGTTACATCTTGCATAGTATATGAAAAGATGGGGTAGGGTTTGGATTTTGAAAACAAAGTTCAGATCAAGCGTAGTTTGTTTTTTTTTTTTTTGAGATATCAAGTTTCTTTAGTTTATCTATCTTTCTTTTGAAAAAAAAGTAAAAATAAAATAGTTTTGGCCATAAAAAAAAAGTAGAGTACAACTGCTTTTTCTTTTTTTAATTATTCAGTTCAGTTTAAAGTCCTCTTCATGTTTGTCTGAGGAGAAGTTATTGTATTCCATGTAATTTAATATTTTGCATGGAGAAACATGTAATTTCATTGATGAAAAAGTTAATCATGGATTGATAAAAGAAAGTTGAAAAATGGGGTCCTGACCAATTATCTGCCATGCAAACTAATACAAGGATACAAATGGAGAAACGGTCGATTTCACAAGGGCCGACCCCTCTAAAATACGTGGCTTAGAAAATTCATTAACGGACCCACATGTCTGATAAATATGGGCCATACGATTAAGAATATAGATTCATCATGGATCATTTGATTGAATATTAGAAATTTAGAATCCATTCTTCACCACCTGTGGCCAAGGGAGATAGATGTTCAAATTCCACATGAACGATATTACTGATTTTCGTATAAGCAAATCTTAAGAGTTAGATATAGTATTAATGTATGCAACTTGTTACTTTGATGATAACTGAAAGAAACAATCCTTTTTAATACAGTTTCAGAATGAGTCTATTCAATCTTTTTTTTTGTTAAGAGGTAAACCAGGTTTCAGTCATTCATAACAGTAATCACTTACTACAGGTTGTTAAAAAAAAAAAAACATTTACTGCAAAAGTAGTTTCAAATAACAAATATAATAGAGAAGATCTTGCTATATATATACGATATAAAAACATCATGGTTCATGATATGGGTTGATAAAGTCTCATGATAACATTGATAAGGGAACATAAGTCCATATATGGACCCATACTAGAGATTTTTGAGAGTTCATTGCCACTAATGTTCAAAAACGACGTAACGTCGTTGTTAAAGTATCTATCGTGTCCAATATATTTTCGGAACCTTGTTTATATATATCAAAGATAATGCATTCTGCATTTACTATTTTTTTCTAAACCAAGAATTTCTATATGCTTTAGACTTGGTATATTTCTTCGGGACAGGAGATGATAGCATGCAAGTTAGTTTTTCTTTTTCCCCTTATCCCCTAAAGCCTGACTCTGGGATCAACCCGGTTGTACTATCATCCTCGGATCTATATTGTCTTTGACTAAAAGTATGTTGGTCTGACATTATGGTGAGATATCTCACTATATTAGACCGAACAATTTTGTTGAATTGGACACACAAAATATTTTATAAGATCCAGCGGCCCAGTGAAACAATCTGATTTTTCCGTATTAGTGACGGCCCATAATTCATCTTGTTATCCTTGGTGGAGCTGGAGTTGTAAGCTTGTTCCGGTTAAGATGAGAGTGTGTTACACAATGCGATGATTGTGTAACACAATGCAATAAGTTTGGTACGTGTAATGACGTGGCGTAAACTTATGGAAATAGAAGACATTGCTTGGGTGCGAAGCAAAGAAGATCTTTTGGTTGGCGATATTTTAGGAAATAGAATATTGTCTTTTTCATGCCTACTTAACGAGGCAACCTAAGTGTGTTTTAGGTTAGGCGTTAAGAGAGAAAAAGCTAGAGCAAGAGAGTTGTTCTTGTCGGCTACAGAGATCGAGAAAACAGGGGTTTGGCTTGGGTTTCTGTAACTTAGAGATTAGGAACTGGTCCGTCGCTAGTCGTGTGTGACTGAGCTTAAATCGGATTAAACAGATCTAGGAAGATTGTTTAAAAGGTTTCTAATATA